CCTAACAAATTAACTTTTCAAGTTAAAAAATGGGAATATTTAACGAACTTATACTGCTGGTTTGATGCATTTTCTTCCGAACGGGTTCTCAAGATATTCCCAGGTCACAAAAAACCCCCGTAAAGGAATACTCAAAAAGTTCCACCCATTTCATGCTTAACCAAATTCATATCTTTTGGTGCATAAGAAAAAAACAATCTGGAGCTTTAATGCTTTCGGGTAGACAAATAAATGCTAAGTTACATTTGATTGAAATTTATGATATGAAATACATATTTAAGGTTGCAGTGGAGGGTACGATTAGCTTCAAGACTGCATTCAATTTTATATAATGGATGGTTTCCTTCTAAACTTACCATCTTTCTATATTTCTTTTATGTGTATTAGACCGGCTTTATTCTCCTCTTTGTCTTCATTTCTTCAGAGAGGTTATTTTAACTTTTCGGTGTTTTGGTTCCATAACTTTTAACTTAAGTGTGTTGGTTGTCCGCAGATTTGCTAGTTGGTTCTGGTGTTTAGACAGGTTTTCGTATAAATCGGTTCTGTTTTTTGTCCTTTAATTTAGTTTTGTTTATAATTTCGTATCCACAATGTTATTGGCGTGAGTGCATCCCATATTCACGGCATATTGCAAAACCAATTGGCAAATTTGCCGTAGTTTTTACCCAGTCCCATTTACTGGCATCGATACTCTCTGCGATGTTCTGCTGAGCCAATTTATTTCGTAAATTATCCGTACCAAAGGGAGTTCAAAGTTATTTACCTATATTTCCCTTAACAAACCTGACCTGGCCCGTATTTTCAGTCAGAAGTTCTTCACTTAATTTGTCAATAACCGTAAGAGAAATCCTACAGGCTGTTTTGCGCAAGAGTTAGTAGTTGTCGATTACATTATTCAGTGACTACCGGCCATAACTGGTGATTTATTTTGAGTAGTCTTGTGGGTCTTGGCGATCTCTCACCTGACTATGGCCTACCAGTTCGGCCCTCGTTTCCGCCGACGTCCACCGTTTGCGCCGCAACATGCTAGAAGCAAGAATGCTGACTTGCCTCGTACGTACGCACATGAAAATGGCCGCGGTCGATTTCAAGTTAGACATTGCAAAAAGTCACACTAAGTTAAGGATACAACCACTTCTCCTCTCTTATGTAACTTATAACTAGAAGTCGATATCAGTGCACAACCTTTCTCTGTACGCCTAAAGCATCATATTGCCTTCTAGCGCAAAAGTCTCGCAGATTTTATAAGCGTTCGTTTGCTTAGCAAATGTGCCTACTACCATATTATACGTACTAATGCGTTTTTTTTCAAAATCGCAATGTCAAAATGTAGTCGTTGTCTGCGCCGTTTCAGGAAGGTGGTTAGCGACAGTGGTAGCAGGACCTTTGAGTTGTCGAAAATTATACTTCCTCACAAGTCATATTATTTTGCAACAGGTATTATGAGCCATGATCGAGTCTTCCGAAGAAAATGACTGAGTGGACTCCCACAAGTATGGAGTCAGTTTATTTTTGGTGTGGACATAATTGGTAGCTAGATTTGTCCTGGGGTGCGGGCTGCAAGTCTTTCACCATTTGTGCAATGCTTTTCTAGGACAAAGTGCCATGACTCACAACTGATTTGTCACGCTTCTCCGTCCTGGAAATTCAGTTCCCACTCGTCTGACAATAACCTGGAGTTTGTTCGCATATCATCAGCATTTAGTTTTCGAGCCAATCTTTTGTTGATATGAACAGTACGAGGGTCGTAAATGCAATCTTCGATAATACTATTTCTGGTCGTCCAAGTTAGCTGTCGTCTAATTACTCAGAGCAATTGAGACATCATATTCGTCAGGGTTTTTGTTGGCATTTGCGGGCAGTTATCTGGAAATCGCATCTCTGAGAGGCGAAAAATGTTCACGTTTTTACTGTCTGTGAAAGGGGAGGTTCCCCTTTTCATCATGTGATAACCAGGAACAGAAAGGGACAGCCTATCGACCTACCACAAGACCCACTAGTCCAGGTTTAGGCACCTCGGTTGCCACGGACGTCGTAGTTTTTATCGAAAAGGCTGCTGGCATATTTGCCGTGTGATCTATTGGGAGGGGTCTGTAGGCGTCCAGTGCCGCCGGCGCCCTAGCAATATTCTGGAGTTCCAAATGACGAACTTACATATGCAGAAAGC